CGAATCAATTTCAATTATTTTAAAAGTATTGCATCGGTATATGTGGATAGAACAACAAAAATTTAGGTCCCCTTCAATAAGCATTTTCATTTTCTACTTTTGAAATTTAAGCTCGGTAAAAATAGTTTTATCCATGTATTTCTTTATTTAAAAACATTTTCAAAAGTCTAAACCAAATTTTTAAAACTAAAAAAAATTGTTTTCAAAATTTTATTTTTGTTTCTAAAATTTGGCTAACAGGTCAAATATGGCTTTAAAAATGTTGAAAACATATCAAAATAAATTGTGAAAATAGAAAATTAAAAATAAAATTGTCATCAAACGGGACCTTAGATAATCAACAAGCATTCCACGTCAACACTCTATTATATAAATTTGAAGAACGTAGCCAAAAATTTTTAAAGTTGGGAGGCATGTTTATAATTTAACCAAAAAATATGATTAAGAAACTACAAATTTAAATAAGTTAATTTATTAGATAAATTGTGAAGGCATAAAAATGCTTTTAAAATGAGTAAATAAAAATTGAAGATAATCCATTATCAAATCCAATCCAACCAATTGTATTTATTTGAATTAATTAATTGACGTTAGTTATTTTAAAAAGATAATTAGAAAAAAGTTTTAATACGGCAAAGGTACAAACATCCAATAATCGAGAAAGTGAATGTACTTTGAACTTGCTAGAATATACCCACACCATTATTGCTATAAAGTTTTCTATTTTTTATTTTTAATTATTAGGTATTTACTTTTTATTTCATAAATTAATTCTGATTTATCGTACATCTTCAAAATGAAGGAAAAGGTAAGAGAAAATAGACTTTTTTTTTCTAATATTATTTTGTTCTCAATACTTTTATTTTTTATTTTGGTCTCAATACTTTTATTTTTTAAAATATTTATTTTAATCTTTGTATTTTCAATTTTCATTCATAGTTATTTTCAAAACGCCTATTTAGACTTGTATATTTTTAAAAGGTAACAAATTTGATTCCAGTTTACAAAATTTTTAAACAATAATAATTCTTTAATACTGAAATTTAGTGAGTGTAATTATCCTGATAAAATTATGATTGGATTAAATGAGATAAAAATGAAAATAAATGGATGAAAATTGTCACTTTTTAAAAGTATGTGACCAAAATGGATGTTTGAAAGTTCATGGACTAAATAAACAAAAGTTGAGAGTACAGAAACTAAAATTCTCGTTTTAAAAGTATGTGAACTAAAATGAACTAAGGTTGAAAGTAAATGACCAAATTAGTATTTAAAAATATAAAATTACAAATAATTTAAATACGTAGGAATAGTTATTAATTCTTTACCAGTCGAGTTAGGTTCAGAAAAAGATAAGACGTATTTTATTTTTTTTTCTCCTTTTTAATATTACATGATTGATTATAAAAAAAATCGGTAAAGAACCAAAGTTCCAAATTGAATATGAAACGATTTAGTATTTCTTTATTGATTCTTATCTAATCAAAAAAAGGAATTTTTTTCTTTCCGATCCAGGGGTTGATTCCTTTTTCTTGAGATTTAATCTCATTTTGGTTCTTTCAACCTTTTTATTACGTTTTGGTTCCTTGAGCTATCAAAATGTTTATTTTATCGCTAAAGTGAGCATAGCTCAGCAGTAATTGACATATATTTTCAACTAAGAGGTTGTGAGTTCGATCTTCTAGTATTTGTCCACCCCCAATCCCTGTAATTGTGTCAACCAATCAACATTTATCTGGTGTTCACACCTAATACACATACTCGAGATTTATATTATTAATTTGTGAAGTAATTGACGCAAAATAATGACTATTTTCTTTTAGAAATTTGATATTGAAATAAAAATTTTAAAAGTTTAAGAATCCAAATGACATTTTGAAAAGTTTAGGATTAAAATAAAATATACCAGAAGTTCAAGGACTAGGAGTTTAAAAATCTCATTTTTTTCTCTCTCCTCCTCTAATACATATTTATAATATGCGGAGAAGTTGAATGTTTTATAAATATCTCAATTATCTAAAAACAATGAACACATTTGTTATTTACCCTCTTAATGTATTATTTGAATTGTGTTTAAAACGTTTCTTAGGACGTTATTTTTTCTTTCTCAAAATGTAAAATGATGTGAATCCATCTAATAAAATGACTTTATGAACAAGGTCAAACTTTTCATCGATGATAAATTGATTTTATGAACCTTACCCTATAGATAACTAATATGTACATAACTTTATAAAGTCCAAGATCTTGAACTTTGATGTTAAAAAAAAAAAAAATCGTGAACTTTGCTTTGATTTGTTAAAATTATATATTCTTAATATTTCCATATTTGGAGATTGTTTTTTAACTAGTTTTTTCAAATATATTATTATCACCATCTTGACTTTAAAATGTTGAAAATGTATTTAGATGGAAAATATAATAATATTCTTCCTTTGGTTTTCTATGATCTTCTCCTTCTTTTATGTTTAGATTTAAGCACGATTTTGGTTTCTCCGTCCTTTTTCTTTTCTTTTTTTCATTTTGATCCTTATATTTTTAATGGTTTATTTTAATTATATACTTTCAACTTTTGCTTAGTGACCCTACTTTCAAATGTCCATAATGTTTTTGTAATTTAAAAAAAAATTGACCAATTTGATTCCTATTTACAAAATTTTACAAAGCATACCCATAATGGAAACCCTTGGATACAAATTTATGGCTACTTTTGAAGAAATTTAATGAGTGAAGTGTTATACTAAAATTATGATGGAAAAAATGAGATAAAAATGAAAATAAAAGATCATAATAGTCAATTTTTAAAATTGTAGGAATAAAAATAATAATAAAAAATAAAAAAGTAGTAAATTATATATAAAAAAAAACAGACGTTTTGAAAGGAAAAGTAAAAATATAAATATTTTAAAAATACATAAACAAACAAAAGCTAAAAATACAAAAACTAAAATAACATTTATACGAACCTTATCTAGAGAAAGTCATCGGTGAAATAAAGATACCAAAAAAAATATAATAATAATAATAAATAAAAGGACTTAAAGGATAAGAATAGAATAACATATAAGCTATTTATACTGAATCCAAGTGTCACATATTACAAATGTATTATTAAAATATTAAAATTATGAATAAAATGTGGTTAAGTTAAATAGCAAATGGAGTTGATTTTAAAATTTCAAATTCTACCCTTTGAAAAGTTAATACTTTTTTGTTAAAATGCTAGACAAAATCAATAAATTTGGATGGTATTAAAATTTGGAACTTTCAAAATCTTAGAAATAAAATCAAAACCAACAATCATGCATCACGTCAGAGCTCAAATCTAAATCCCTCAATTTTGAAAAACATTTAATTAGTAATATATGATATATATTGCATCATGAAAATCGTTTAATGGTTCAATGATAAATTTTTTTTTTGCTTTGTTTACTAGTTTCTTAGTTCTATATCTACCTCTGGTCTCATGCACGAGTAGATTACTCTACAACAATCACCTATCTAGATATTAAAATTTAACAAATTTCTGACCACGTATGTATTAGAAAAAGTGCGATTCATCTATAAAGATTAAATAAATGAAATTTAAGAGTATTTTAAAAGATTGCACAAAAAAAGAAAATGGTAGGTGACACGTGCCTTTTATTATTATTATGTTTTTTAATTAATTTTTGGTTGCCCCGTTTTCTTTCTTTATCGAAAGTAATAAAGTAAACAAAGTGAGGTTGCATGATAATTAGAAAAAAAGGAAAAAAAAAGAAAATAGTATTTGAAGGACAGGAATTATTTAATTTTTAATTTTATGGGGCAGGGGTGTGAAGGGACATAAAGGGTAATTAAACTGAAAAGGTAAGGGCAATCTAGTATCTTACGTCACCGCGACAGCAACCCGCACTACATCACAGACCAACCAAACCCCACCACCTGTCCTCACTTCTGAAACTCCAGCGCCCTCCCCAATTACCCCTCCACTCTCCAAAACCGACAAAACTATACATTTTTATATGAATATATATAGAAAAGTTAATTTACGAATTTAGTCCCTTCCATACGGTTGTGTTTATTTAGCTGGTACGGCATAATCCATTTAGGTCCTGAAATTTGATTTGTAATGATTTAATTTTTGTATTTTTAAATCTGTAATAATTTGGTTCTCAAACTATAGTATGTAATAATTAACTGACAATAGTTTTAAATTTGTAACATTTAGTCCCTATCATATAATTTTTTGTTAAATTTCTTATGTATTTAGATGGATAAACTGATCAAAGACCAAATATGTTTATAAATTATAAAGACTAGATCGTTATTAGATAAAAATCAATACTTAATTTTGACAAAAATTTTTACAGTAGGATTTAGATTGTTACAAATTTTAAACTATAAAAATAAAATTGTTACGTACTAAAGTGTAGGGACTAAATTATTACAAATTAAAAATCAGAAACCAAGTCATTACTTTAACAAAATACAAGAATCAAATATAGTTTTTTTAACCTGAGATAATCTCCTGGTTAACATTATCATACTTTTGACTAATAAGACAGAGAAATAAAAACAATGGTAGAGATTTTTTTATTTATAATTTTTTTTTTCAAAAAGATAAATAGCTGTCAAATTTGGATATCAATGAGAAGATTCTCACTTACCGGTAAAAGAAATAACTAACAACGGATGATTTTGACATGACATCTATAAGTGTAGAAAATAAGGATAGAGAGACAAGGTAGAAACTAAAATTTTTTTGGCTCGCCTGTTATTTGGTTGATGAACTACTCTCTCGAACAATTTCGTTCTAAATTATTAGCATTTAATTAAATCAGTATCTTCAAATTTGAATATAACTCAATCAATGAATCTCTAGTTAAAAAAAATAAAGGAAATATATATATATATAGAAAGAAGCCGCAGTGGTAGTTTTTGTAAATACTTTGAAAGCGGAGGCTGTATTGGTAAACTCACCTTTTCTCCTTCAGTTCTTTTTATGGCGGACTTCACCGGACCTGCTGCGCTTTTCTCACAGAGTGATTACGAGAGAAATTTTTTGCAGAGCCGAAGTGAAAGAGAAAGAAAGGGAAGAACCAAAAACAAAGAAACCCATTTTCAATCTCATCTCAGTGAACAAACCTCCGATTCAGAAACCAGCTCCACTTCCGTCGTCTTCTCGGAGTTTGATTTCTGTTTTTTCCCCTTCTGAGGCTCAGAAATGGAGCAGATCATGGCTGTGTACAAGATTCAGACCTGTGGGATAGTGTAGGTGTTTTGGGGTTGAGCGATTTTTCGCTGTTCCTGCTCCGCTAAACACTACTCCCACTTCTTCCCCCTTTCGTTTCTTTTTTCAGCTTTCGGCTCGCCGGAGCATGGCTTGCCGGAGAAAAATCGTCGGAAATCTTGACCCACAGAGGAAGAGGAGCGGTGGTTTGAGAACGAAGCAGGCGGGGAGAGGATCGTGCCGCGGAAGTTAGAAATTGGAATGGAGAAATCCGAAAAAGCTTGGGAAATGTACTGTCTCTCCGGCGCTTGAGCATTTTCCAATTCTTGTTCTCTACTGTATCCTGTCGGATTTGGAAAAGTATTCTCGTTTCAGAAACAAAAGAAAAACATTGGGTTCGAGCTCTCCAGCCATGGGTTTTTTGCTAAAAGAGATTCTCAAGGCTCTGTGCGGTTCGAATCAGTGGTCTTATGCTGTGTTCTGGAAGATCGGCTGCCAAAATTCCAAGTAAGATTTTATTCTTCACCAACCCCATGAAATCTAAACTTTCTTATTTTCTTCCCACTTGCTTCGTTTTTGGGGTCATTAATCACAGTCCAGACTGAAGCAGTGGAATATCCCTTCAGAGAATAAAGCAATAAATGGGATCTGGGTTCATTGAATCGTTGGTTTAGTTCAAACTAGAAAGGAGAAGAAAAAAACTGAAAAAGTACCCAAGGGAGCATTAGATTTTCAGGATATTTTGTTAATTTTAGAATCCTGAAAAGTGGGAAGTTCATTAATTAGTTTTGGACTTATATCTTCCTTAAGTTGTGAAGTTTTGAAGTAGAACAGATATTATGTAGCTACGATCCATATGATTGGCTGAAGCAGAGTGTTAGATATATGTCCTTGTTCGGTTGTCACTGACTGCAACATCATTTTCTCTTTATTGGCAACCTTTTATGTCTTTATTTCTTTTTTTAGCTGATTTTTTCTTTTGGATGGATTCTACTTTGGTTCCGAAGAATCTCTGGGGAAGTAGATTTTCAAAATTTCATTTTCAAAATTTCAAAATTTCAAAATTTTCTTTGGAGATTAGGGGTCTTTGGCTTTAACTTTCTTGTTTGCTTTTTCTTGTTTATTTGTTTTTTTTTTCTACTTTCTTTCTAATTTCTTGGCTTCGTGGATTTGGAGTGAACTTTTGCTTTTTTTGGCCAGGGAGAGTCTTTGAGTAATGACTTGGTTTCAGCATTCAGAATTTGCTGCTGACAGAATAGAGTTGAAAGTTGATATATTCTTAGATCCATTTGACTCGTTTGTTTTCTTTTGGGAAAATGGAAAATTTCTCTTAAGTTGCTTGCTAAGTAGGATTTTCTTTTTTATTTCTCAGGCAACATGTAGGGTTTAATTTTTTTTTCCCTTCTTCTTTTAATGCTCTCATTCTTGCTCGCTTTTTGTTAGAATTTTGGGAAGTAAGTTTAAAGAAATAATTGGTTTCTTTGGAAACTAACGTGAGACATTTTTTTGGACTTTTGCAGGCTCCTGATTTGGGAAGAATACCATTGCCAACTCTTGCCCAGCTTCGAGTTTTCTGGAAGTGGGAGTTCCAAATTACCCCTTGGGGAGTTCGAAGGATGTTGGGGGTATTCCCAAAATTCCTCCACGAAGCAGGCGAATCATATGGAGGACAAACTTTATTCGCTAATTAACAGAATGATGTTGAATAAACAGATTAGTCTAGTAGGTGAAGGGTAAGCATCTTCCAGATCTCAATTATCTCCTGTTACTCTTCATTTTCAGTGCTTGTTTTTAACTGAACATGATATGCACGATTGTCGTTTCAGGATTGTTGGGCGAGCTGCATTTACAGGAAACCATCATTGGATTCTGTCAACCAATTACTCCAGGGATGCCTATCCAACAGAGGTATGTGTCCAATGTTTTTTGCTCCATCATTTTCTGTTTATGGAGTTGTTGGAATAGTGAGTATCCTCAATAATTCGGGACAAAACGTCATGTTTATCACAACAATTTGAAAATCCAAGTTTTTAATGGTTCCATCTTTTGAAACCAACTCTCCTGTCTTGTAGTCCTTTGATATTATACAACTGGTAAACATGCTTTTATGATGTTTCTCACATCTCCATAAATTTCCATGGTTGATGGGAAAGGTTCATGAGGAAAACAGAGGAAGATGTTAGTAATTCCATTGACCGAATTTTTTTCTTTGGTATGTGCTTTCAGGTTCTTAATGAGTTGCATCAACAATTTTTTGCTGGCATGCAGGTTTGATAGTTTTTCCTTTATCCATCCCCTGAAAATTATTGTTTTCTTTAGCAGTTCGATGAACAGATTTTGTATATCATTTGCAGACTGTTGCAGTTATTCCTGTTCTTCCTCATGGAGTTGTACAACTAGGCTCATCCTTTCCTGTGAGTACCTTTACTACCCGTTGAGTTATAATTCTGATTTCTGAGTAAACCTGTAGCACTTAACTAAGTGTCTTTTAAGATATATCTGGAGGATGGCACCGTTAGCTACCCTGTATTGATTCTTCTTGTATGTGGTTCTTTTTATTTTGTTTTGATTTGTTTTTTTCTAGTAGATCATTGGCAATGGCCAACCGGCTTTTATTTATACAAGGGTGTAAATGGTTCAGATATTCTGAGAATTGTGATAGTCTTTTTATAACATCTAGTATTAGCTTAATGACTTTTCTGTCTAATCTCATCATGCTGTCAAGTTTGTTTACCGATGTTCTCTAATTTATTCTTCAGATCATGGAAAACTTGATGTTCGTGAACAATGTAAGGAGTTTGATACTGCAGTTAGGGTCTGTACCTGGTGCTCTTCTATCTGAGAATTATGATGGAAAAGACCCAGTTGAGAAAATAGGCGTGCCTGTGGCTTTGGGAATGGCTGGACTTACAGACCCTTATCGAAATTGCAACATGATAAAACCGTCATTGATGGATGACAATTGCAACCGGCAAGAAAATTCATTGCTAGCTTCTAGGCCTGGTCAGCAATCTAATTATGGGTTCAGAGAGGTTCAGTTGAATCATCTTGCTGCGTCTTCAACATCTCAAAATTCGCAATTGACCCAAGCTTCGGTGATGCCTTGTAATAGTCTTGGTCAACCAAAAGTTACTCAACTGATGAAGCCAAATCTCCCTCCAAGAGACAATTTGGAGTATGGACGCGTTAGAGCAGAAGTGATTCTCCCAAATTCCGAGGCACGGTTTCATCAGCAGTCTTCTAGTTCTTTTTACAACTCCCAATCTGGCGTCTTTCCATCAAGTGCTGTTCATGGCAGCCTGAAATTAGTTGGAAATCAGAATTTTGCTGCTGCTAGTGCTCAGCAAGATGCTTATAACTGTTTAAATCCATCAAATAGTTGTAACCTGTCTCAATTGGTGGCACATGGTGTAAGAACCATCGATATTGAAAAGAGTTCTATGACCACTCCATTAGTTGAAAGTAGACAATCAAAGGAAAGGAAAAGTAGCAGTTTAAAACCATTTTCTGTTCCGGTCTCTCTTTCTAATGACTGCATAGCAACTGACAAAAGTGTTTACGGAGGCGAGCAGGGTGGAATGGAGGTACAAAACGTGCTCGAGTCCAAGGCAGAAGAGAGTTCTTTATCTGGTGGGGTAGATTGCTCGGTTACAACAGGTCAACTGATACTAGAGAACTCCAGTGGAAAAGAAAGTTTGGCAGCCATGAAGTGTCCTCAAATGAAGCTAGCTCCATCAGTTTCAGAGTCAAATCGAGATAATGATTTATTTGAAGCCCTTAATACTACCTGGACTCAACTGGAGAGTGCCATGTCCTTGAATGACTACATGCCTGGTCTTGCCAATGATTACCTGAACCATTTTTGTGGATTTGAGAGCCCGAAACTACCACACATAAAAAATGAACCAACACGTGCTCTACCTTCTACGGGGGATGACTTGTTTGATATTCTAGGTGTGGAGTACAAAAATAAACTACTCACTCGCAACTGGAATAGTTTATCTGAGAATGCACAAACTGAAGACAGGCAGAATTCTGGTGTATCTCAGATAATGAACAAGCTCGAGGCTGGATTGAGCTCGAATATCTCTTCCACATGTAGGAAGGTATCAGAATCTGGAATCAATTCCATGACAGCCTCTGACCAACTTTTAGATGCTGTAGTTTCCAGAGGTCACTCTGCCATCAAGCAGAGTTCAGATGATAGCACATCTTGTAGGACAACATTGACTAAAATCAGTAGCTCCTCTGGACCGATTAGCTCGATTTATCGACAGCCCAGTGCATCCAATCACTTGCAGAGGGGAGTTTTTAGCATCCCCAAGTCGATGGGTGAAGTAGGGACACCAGATAATAGTTCTTTCATATCTGGATGTAGACGAAACGATATGGCAAATTGTTCTCAAAGTTCTTCAGTATATGGATCTCAAATCAGTTCATGGGTTGAACAGGGAGATAACTTGAAGCGTGACAGTAGCGTGTCGACTGCCTATTCTAAGAGGCCTGATGAAGTGAATAAATCGAGTCGCAAAAGGCTTAAACCGGGAGAGAATCCTAGACCAAGGCCGAAAGATCGCCAGATGATACAAGATCGTGTTAAGGAGTTGCGGGAGATTGTCCCAAATGGGGCAAAAGTAATTTCTTCTGCATCTTAGACATCTAACTTTCCTCCCCTTGCTCATCTCATGATTCTAAGGAACTGATACAAATTTTGTCAATTTCTCTTAACAGTGTAGCATAGATGCATTACTTGAAAGAACCATCAAACATATGCTTTTCCTACAAAGTGTCACAAAGCATGCTGACAAGTTAAAACAGACTGGAGAGTCTAAGGTAGGGACTATTTACTTATATTTATCTTCTGTATTATTTTGGGTTTTCTCTTTGGATTTATTCCCATTTTCTTGATACCTATAAATGTTTTGACATATCTTCAGTGAAGAGTGTTGAGAGCTCTGTTTCCTTGGCTTATTTGCAGATCATTAGCAAAGAAGGTGGACTTTTTTTAAAAGACAACTTTGAGGGCGGGGCGACGTGGGCGTTTGAGGTTGGTTCACAAACTATGGTCTGCCCTATCGTAGTCGAGGATTTGAATCCGCCACGTCAGATGCTTGTGGAGGTAGGCCTTGCCAGAAACTCTCAACCTTTTGTACAATGTTTATCTCAGCATTTCATTTTACTTTTATGTTGTGATAGACATTCTACTTTTAGTTTATATGGATGCACTTTTTGTGGCAGATGCTTTGTGAAGAGAGGGGTTTCTTTTTGGAAATTGCTGATTTGATCCGTGGAATGGGCTTGACCATACTGAAAGGAGTAATGGAGGCACGGGACGACAAGATATGGGCGCGGTTTGCTGTTGAGGTAAGTCATGAACTCAGTCTTGGTGTACTCGTAGCAGTAGGCTCTCAGCTGTAATGCCTGTAATTCCTCAACTTGCTTATTACAGGCTAACCGGGATGTGACTCGGATGGAGATCTTCATGTCGCTCGTTCACCTGTTGGAGCAGACACTGAAAGGCAACAACGTATCGATGGCAAACGCGATAGATAACAGCCATATGATCGTTCACAACTCCTTCCCTCAGCCAACCCCGATCCCTGCAACCGGCAGGCCCAGTAGCTTGCAGTGAAGCAGCTGCCTACTATACAACTTCTCATGGGGATGTTGAGAGCGAGCCTCGGTATCGATATTGCTTGCTATGACTAACATGTTTCCAGTCCCAAGATCTCTGGTTGTTCTAACTCTTTATTTCTCAGCAGTTTATTATAAAACTAGAGATGTAATTTGCAACAAGTCAGTATTAGAGGGGGAAGATTTGTTTAGTGTATTTTAGGAGTGTGTTATTCTCTATGAATGTATAACTGTTTTGATGAAATTGAGGCTGCTGCTGTTCTCTCTATTTCAAGCCATTCAGCCATTTGAAACATATTCACTGTATAAGATCATAAATTATGTTTTCGTTTCAGGGTATTAGTTTTTCTTTGAGGTGCCGACATATTTGTGTCCATGACAACGATATCGACATTTCTATCGTGTTACAATATGAAAAATATCAATACTTTTTACTATTTTTTTATTTTTATAATATTTTTAGAGATATTAATCAACATTAACATTTTATAGATATTTTTATGAAATTGAGACATGAAATCCACCTTTGTAATCATTTAAACCAAACCAAAATTTAAAACTTTGGTTTGGACAAAATTCAATACTTCTCACAATTTGCTCCCTCTGGAATCAATAAGATGAAGCTCATTCTATGATTTTGATCGACTTTCCTTGAAAAAAATATATAAAAGTCCATTTCGTTTCTTATGTTTCATCATTTTAGTAAAGAAATATAAAGGTCCATTCTTAACATTTTCGTTTCTTATATTTCATCTTTTTAATAAAGAAAAATAGAATTACATAGCTACCACCCCAAAGATTTAAGAATGATAAACAAGATTTTTATTTATGTTGGAATAAATCGGGTACAGGAACAAAATTCCTATATAATTTTAAGAATCTATAGTATATATAAAAGGTGGGATGAGGAGAAACTTCTATATACAATTTTTGTCCTCTCATTATAACTCTTTTCATTTTTCTTTTGATGACAATTGTGTCATTTAAATACAAACTTTCTCTCTCAATTTATCTTTTCTCTCCATCACTATCCCATCCCTCTAAATTCCCCTATTTTCTCTTACTAATCTTCTCTCTCTTAATTATTCTTTCATTAACTTTATCTTTCTCATTCATTTTTTTTAACTCCTCTCATCTACCACATACCCTCCCCCAATCCTTTCATCTTCCTAACCCCCTTCCAATTATCACACACCTTCTCCCAATCCTTTCATCTTCCTAATCCCCTTCCAATCCATATATAAATACGTGTCCATTCTTTCTCATGCCAACCAAAAATCAAGAGGTGGTGGATGGAACAAAGTGGAAAATTTTCCAAGTGGTGTGAAGGTATGAAAATTACTCTCTTGCTTTAGCAACGACAACAACAATGCACATATGGGTGATCGAGAGGAGAATTGATAGTGAAGAGAAACCAAATTAAAGCTGAGTTGATGKCATCGGTTCACTTTCCMCAAATTTATCATTGTTCAGATTGAAAGAAATTCTAGAGTACGATGTGTCGAGATGGTGRTYGAYGGAATCGAGATAAARCAAAATTCRATTATTCTCATAATTTGGATAATAAGAATGCTTATGAGTTTGATTTTTATTTATTTATTTTTTAAACTGATGCTTTTGATTTATATATGTGAAATGTTGTAATTATTTTTACAAAGTTAGGGCAAACAAACAATTTCTTTCCCTTTCAATGTCATCAGGTTGGACCTTTTAGGGTTTACTCTTTCTCTCACTCTTACCTTTCTTTTTCATTCTAGAATGAACAAACTCAATGATTTAACTTCACACAATTTAACAAAGATAAAATGTAATATAATAATTTATAATCAAGAAAATTAGAGGTAAATTAAGAACGTTTATTCATTAAAAAAAAAAACTTTGCACGTTGGTGCTTTTTCATCTTTCTTACACTTCAAATTTGTACTTACTTTCCATGCTAATATTTCATCATCTTCTTTTATTACAACAATATC